CTTTGACTCTGGGAGCTGTTGTTTTAAGGAAACTAACAAGTAAAATGCCAAAATATCCAGACATCAGCCATTTTCTAGTGGAATTTGGATGCGTGCCTCTCAACAGGAGTAGCTCACACTGGGTTCTCTTGGAGTGCTCTTACAAGAAGTTGGTGAGGGGTGTCTGCCATTGTCAAATGCAGTTAGTCTTGTATATATGTCATCAATTTGAGATCTCAGCTGCATGGGAGACAGGTTCCTTCCAGCCTGGACCCTGTATGAAAGTCAAAATCATCAGGGTGGATTTCAGTGGGGTGGGTTCAAAATCATCTGAGCTCCCTCAATGCATTTTGGAGCATCCTAGAGCCTTGTGCCTCGAGACATCAGGACTTATGCTCATTATATCCCTCCCATGCACGTTCTCTGATATTGTGGCTGTGCCCACAGTTTGCTCAGCGCTTGTCCTGAAGGTCTGACAGGGCTGTGAGAGCATCAGGAACCCCTGAGATCTCATGTGCTTACTTTTAGGCACAGCACAGCAGTGAGATGACTCACTGTACACAGGGAGGCTTGGGAAGATAACTGAGAGCTGAGCCAACGTGCCGTTCTAGGACATAAAATGATTTCCACAAAATAGTCCCATCGGTTCCCTGGGGCACCCTCTAATGGATCCTAATTAGAAGCTGTCACTTCTTGTTATGGGAAGGGAGGAATGGTTCAGCTTTCCTACCCCCTAACCTTGAAGAGACTGAGATGAGAGCTGCCCCTAGAAATTGCTTAATTTAGGGCATTTCCACTCCTGCAAGAAATTAATTGGGGATTTCTGTGTGTGGCAGGCCAGGCACCTCCAGGAGGTCTGTGACATGAAGACACTTAATGCTGTAAATTCATGCACATACATGCACAGATACATGATAAAACTTGATTTTTCAAACATTTGTGCCTGTCATTTCTCATACACTGGGCTGCTGCCTCAAGCTCCTCTCCTGCTCAGCCTAAACCCTGTGACATTTCCACACTGGAGTGGGGCTCCCTGGAAGGCACTTGCAAGACCCATAAAGGCTGTAGGGCTGCAGCCTCCTGCTCAGCCTTTTTCAATGGGTTGTGGATGTTGCCAGTTTGATCAGTGGGATTTTAAAAAACTGTTGTGAAGCTGCAGCCCCTAAACAGGAAAGCCTCCCTTCTGTCTCCTACCATGTTGCTTACATGCATCTTTTTGAGACTCTTGGTTTCTTGACAGCATTTACATAACCTGGCTGAAAACACTCCCACAGCGATTAAATGCCTGCCATGAAATCCAAAGCTCTGATTAAAAGGATGAAGCTCTCCAGGACTGCAGTATTTGCACAGATGGTTAATACTCACAGCTTGCTCTACAGGGTTTCAAAAAGTGGCATTTTCTTTCCAAGTGCATACAGTCTGAGCTTTCCCATGGGAATTGCTTGTTTTGTTCAGATTATTATTTTAAAGCTATCATCAGATGTGATCACCCATTGGATTAGAGGAAGCAAAAAGAGGTGATCAGATAATCCCTGTGGCACAAAGCATTTTAAGTTGGATTTGAAGGGAGCTGTCACCCATGGTCAATTTTCTCTCTCTGTATTTTCCTGAAAACACTTGTGCCCAGTAGCTGGAGACCTTTAGAGGTGTAGGATGTTGTAGTAATTTGCTGGAGGAAGAGCCCTCTGAGCTGGCCTTGTCAGAAAAACTGTGGTTAAAAGAGAAAAATGCAAAACCAAATAGCAGGTAAATACCCAAACGAGGCCTTGCAAAATCACCATGTCTCCTTTTCATCTGTTGCATAGAAACCTTTGGCAAAGAGAACTTCTGATTAAGTCAGATGAACATAAAGATCTAATCAGACTAAAATATGTAACACAAATTAGGCACAATAAAAATGACCTCTCTGAAGGTGGGGGTTAGTGCCATGGGTCTTGGAACAGAAACTGGATTTTGGGGGAATGTTCCATAGAATAAGGAAGTCCAGTTTTCCCATCTGTGTGAACAAACTTGCTCTGATTTTGGCTGTTTATTAGAGCTCTGCTGAGATACCCTGGTCCCTTTGGGGTTCTGCAGTTGTTCAGCTTTTCCTGAAACCTGGAAAACATAAGATTAGCTAAAGCCCTTTTATTTTTTTAATGTGGAAGTACAGGGCCAAACTGGAGGAGAATTTTATCACTGACTGCAGGGGAAGTGGGATCAGCTGTCAGTTTGCTGGGATTTCACCAGCAGGCCACATCACACAAATGCTGGCAGAGCAGGAGTAAGAAACAAACCCTCTGGCTCTTGGCTGGGGCTGTGCTGTTCATCTGACCCTTGATCTGCTGCTGAAATATGGAGCCAGATCAATAGCTGAGTTTATTGCAGTGTAGAAGGGTAAAGTGCTAGATTGCAGAAACTTTGTCAAGCAATTCTTTCTCAGATAGGCATTCCCTAATTTTAACCTTTTCCAGGGTCCTCTCTGTTAAAAATTCAGAAATTCCCAGTGTTTCTCAGGCAGGAACCATCACATGAGGAAGTGATTAATGACAGCAGGGGGGGGGGAAAAAAAAAAAAAAAAGAATGTGCTGAATAAAGGCAAAACTGAGACTCAATCCCTCATCCCACAGGCTGCCTCCTCAGTCCTCCAGATGACAAAAGACATTCCAGCTCCTGACAAACAGCCTCAAGAGATGCTGAAGCATTCCACAACCCCCCAGGGCATGTGTCCAAAGACAGAGTTGGGCAGAAAGGCTGGATGATGAACACTCTCTGGGCAGTCTGAGGATATGTGAACCAGCAAGAAGATCATCCCTGCTCCTACAGGCAAAGGATCCATGGCAGACACAGGCTGCATGAAGCATCACATAGTCTGTTTTTCAGAAAGACCTAAGCAGTAAGTCTGGAATGATCAGTTAATTCATTAAGGAAAGTAATTTTTTGGAAGCTGTGCTCAGAGCCAGGACTGTTGGCCAGATCACCTGGTTTCCAGTAGGCTGAGTCTCACCCTTGTTCTGGCAGACACCTCCAACAACATACAAAATCCACTTAAAATGCTTGGGAAAAAAAACCAAAACACACTACCATCAAAAGCTTAGTTACTTTGGATCAATCATGACCTTACAGGAATGCTGTGCCTCAGTTTTCCCATCTGTAAATGAAGGAGACCATTCAACTATTTCCCAGCAGTTCTGTAAAGCTCATCTGATTAACATTTATAAAACCATGCATGGTTCTTGGAGGGGAATTGCTGCTGAGGAATTAATTGTTACGATTGCTGCTTATTCCCCAGATGCCTGAAATGTGGAACTTGGCAGAATTCCGGAGGAAGTATCCATGGGAGCTGAGATACAAGATGAACCAACCTGACAGTCAGGCTGTTGGTGCAGGCAAGATTCATTATAAACCTGGGGGGCTTAAATAGTAGATCTCTGCTGAGAACGTGGGCAAGGCTCCAGGAGCTGTGTCTGTCCCATCAGGTATTGAATCACAGAACGGTTTGGGTCAGAAGGGACCTTGAAAGGTCATCTGGTCCAAGCCCCCTGCAGTGAGCAGGGACATCTTCAGCTAGATCAGGTTGCTCAGAGCCTGTCCAACATGACCTTGAGCATTTCCAGGGATGGGGAGGTAGGACTGTTCCCTCCTGGTCCTGTCTGTTGCCTGCTATCAACATAGCTGTGCATCACATACCTGGATAGAGGAAGTTGGGCTGTGCCAGAGGAGAACAGGCCACATCAAGGGCAGCTGCTTAGGAGAGGTTCAGCTGCCTAGAACATCTTGAGAAGGCTGACTCACCCTACACCCTTCTATTTCTGCTGTCCTCATGCCTTCATCAGCTCACGCCTCTCTGAGAAGAAATGTCTGCTCTTAAAATACCTTAAGGTTTTAAAGAAATAATTTAAGAGTTCAGAGGAGGGTGATGAAGACACTTAGAGGGCTGGAGAGAGTTGGGGGTGTTCAGCCTGGAGAAAAGAAGGCTCAGGGGAGACCTCAGAGCACCTTCCAGTGCCTGAAGGGGCTCCAGGAAAGCTGGCAGGGACTTTTGGCAAAGGCTTGTAGTGAGAGGATAAGGGGGAACAGTTTCAAGCTGAAAAAGGGGAGATTTAGATGAGATTCTGGGAAGATATTCTCTCCTGTGAAGGTGATGTGGCACTGGCACAGGTGGTCCAGGGAAGCTGTAGATGCTCCCTCAGTGGAAATATTCAAGGCCAGGTTGGATGGGCCTTGGAGCAACCTGCTCTAGTGAGAGGTAGCAGGGGGTTGGGACCAGGTGGTCTGGAAGCTCCTCACCAAGCCGAGGGGTGGCTCCTTGCCGGGGGGTGCAGGTGCCCCCCGGCTGCAGGGCGCAGGTGTTGGGGCTTGGCGGCCGCTGCTGCAAAGGGAGGGGACAAACAGGCACGTGGGGGCTCAGGTCCGGTGGGGGGGAAGGGACAAGCC